AAGCAGGGGGGGTGGGAGAGGGAGAAGCAGGCTTCCCGCTGAGCAGGGAGCCCAATGTGGGGCTCGATCCCAGGCCGATGACCTGAGCCGAAAGCAGATACTTAACGACTGAGCCACCCAGGCGCCCCACTTCTTTTTTTTTTCTTTTAAGATTTTATTTACTTATCAGAGAGAGAGAGAGCACGAGCAGGGAGAGGGGCAGAGGAAGAAGCAGGCTTCTCCACTGAGCAAAGAGCCTGACGTGGGACTCGATCTCAGGACTCTTGAGATCATGACCCCAGCTGAAGGCAGACACTTAACTGACTGAGCCACCCAGGCGTCCCTGTTAAAGGCTTTTTAAATTTTCATCTTTACAGTTACAGTCTATCTTTTCAATGTATTTAATTTTATTTTTCTATGTGTAAGTTTGTATTTCTTTACAATTTTGGGATCTATTTTTCTAAAAAACAGACCAAAATATACACAGAATCCAGTGTATTGCTCTATTCTGCTCACCTGTCTGATTATACTCTCTTTTTTCTTTTTTATTTTCCCCCTAGTTTCGGGTCTCTTCTGTTTAGTGTATATTTCTCTGGGGTCGTTGTTGCCATTTTAGTATTCTGTTCTCTCGTTCATTTATTCTTCTCTGAACGGAATGACAAGACGGAAAAACTCACCTCAAAAAAGAGAACAAGAGGCAGTACCGACTGCCAGGGACCTAATCAATATGGACATTAGTAAGATGTTGGAACTAGAGTTCAGAATATGATTATAAAGATACTAACTGGGCTTGAAAAAAGCATAGAAGACACTAGAGAATCCCTTTCTGGAGAAATCAAAGAACTAAAATCTAACCAAGTTGAAATCAAAAAGGCTATTAAAAGATGCAATCAAAAATGGAGTCTCTAACTGCTAGGATAAATGAGGCAGAAGAGAGAATTAGTGATACTGAAGACTAAATGATGGAGAATAAAGAAGCTGAGAAAAAGATAAACAACTACGAGGGGAGAATTCGAGAGATAAGTGATACCAGAAAGCAAAACAATATTAGAATAACTGAGATCCCAGAAGAAAAGGAAAGAGAGGGGCAGAAGGTATATTGGAGCAAATTATAGCAGAGAACTTCCCTAATCTGGGGAAGGAAACAGGCATCAAAATTCTGGAGGCACAGAGAACCCCCACCAAAATCAAAATACAAATAGGTCAACACCCCAACATATAATAGTGAAACTTGCAAATCTCAGAGACAAAAAGAAAATCCTGAAAGCAGCTCAAGACAAGAGCTCTGTATCCTACAAGGGTAGAAATATAAGACTGGCAACAGACCTATCCACAGAGACCTGGCAGGCCAGAAAGGACTGGCATGATATATTCAGGGTGCTAAATGAGAAAAATATGCAGCCAAGAATACTTTATCCAGCTAGGATGTCATTCCAAATAGAAGGAGTGATAAAAACAAAACAAAACAAAACTTCCAGGACAAACAGAAACTAAAAGAATTTGTGATCATCAAACCAGCCCTACAAGAAATATTAAAAGGGGTCCTCTAAGCAAAGAGCACAAAAGTAACATAGACCAGAAGGGAACAGAGACAATACACAGTAACAGTCACCTTACAGGCAATACAGTGGCACTAAATTCGTATCTTTCAATAGTTACTTTGAATGTAAATGGGCTAAATGCCCCCAATCAAAAGACACAGGCTATCAGATTGGATAAAAAAGCAAGACCCGGGCACCTGGGTGGCTCAGTTGGTTAAGCGACTGCCTTCTGCTGAGGTCATGATCCTGGAGTTCCAGGATCGAGTCCTGCATCAGGCTCCCTGCTCAGCGGGGAGTCTGCTTCTCCCTCTGACCCTCCCTGCCTCATGTGCTCTCTCTCTCTCTCTCTCAAATAAATAAATAAAAAATCTTAAAAAAATAAAATTAAATAAAAAAATAAAAATTAAAAAAAAAAAAGCAAGACCCATTAATATGCTGTCTGCAAGAGATTCATTTTAGACCCAAAGGCCCCTCCAGGTTGAAAGTGAGGGGGTGGAAAACCCTTTATCATGCTAATGGACATCAAAAGAAAGCTGGGGTGGCAATCCTTATATCAGACAGATTAGATTTTAAACCAAAGACTGTAATAAGTGATGAGGAAGGACACTATATCATAATTAAAGGGTCTATCCAACAAGAAGATCTAACAATTGTAAATATTTATGCCCCTAACATGGGAACAGCCAATTATACAAGCCAATTAATAACAAAATCAAAGGAACACATCCATAATAATACAATTTAATAGTAGGGGACTTTAACATCCCCCTCACTGCAATGGACAGATCATCTAAGCAGAAGATCAACAAGGAAATAAGGGCTTGGAATGACACACTGGACCAGATGGACTTCACAAGTTATAATCAGAACATTCCATCCCAAAGCAACAGAATATACATTCTTCTGAAGTGCACATGGAATATTCTCCAGAATAGATCACATCCTGGGTCACAAATCAGGTCTCAACCGGTACCCAAAGATTGGGATCATTCCCTGCATGTTCTCGGACCACAGTGCTTTGAAACTGGAACTCAATCACAAGAGGAAATTTGGAAAGAACTCAAATACATGGAGGCTAAAGAGCATCCTACTAAAGAATGAATGGGTCAACCAGGAAATTAAAGAAGAATTTTAAAAAATTCATGGAAACAAGTGAAATGAAAACACAACTGTTCAAAATCTTTGGGAGGCAGTCTTAAGAGGAAAGTATATAGCACTACAAGCCTTTCTTAAGAAACAAGAAAGGTCTCAGATACACAACCTAACCCTACACCTACAGGACCTGGAGAAAGAACAGCAAATAAAGCCTAAACCAGGAGGAGAAGAGAAATAATAAAGATTAGAGCAAAAATCAATGAAATAGAAACCAAAAGAACAGCAGAACAGATCAATGAAACTAGGAGCTGGTTCTTTGAAAGAATTAATAAGATTGATAACCTCCTGGCCAGACTTATCAAAAAGAGAAAAGACCCAAATAAATAAAATTGTGAATGAAAGAGAGGAGATCACAACCAACACCAAAGAAATACAAACAATTTTAAGAACATATTATGAGCAACTATATGCCAACAAATTAGACAATCTGGAAGAAATGGATGCATTCCTAGACACATATAAACTCCCAAAAGTGAACCAGGAAGAAATAGAAAACCTGAACAGACCCATCACCAGCAAGGAAATTGAAGCAGTAATCAAAAGTCTCCCAACACACAAGAGCCCAGGGCCAGATGGGTTCCCAGGGGAATTTTACCAAACATTTAAAGAAGAATTAATACCTATTCTTCTGAAGCTGTTTCAAAAAATCGAAATGGAAGGAAAACTTCCAAACTCTTTTTACAAGGCCAGAGAGGGTCCTGGGATCAAGCCCCGCATCAGGCTCCTTGCTCAGCATGAAGCCTGCTTCTCCCTCTCCCACTCCCCCTGCTTGTGCTCTCTCGCTCTCTCTCTGTCAGATAAATAAGTAAATAATCTTTAAAAAAAAAAAAAAACCCACAGGGAAAATCAGCAAATACTCTGAAACAAAAGAAAACAAATACATAACATACCAGACGAGATGCAGCGAAGGAACACTCCAACAGAAATTTATAGCTGTAAATGCCTACGTTAAAAAAGAGAGAAGCTCTCAAATTGATAAAACTAATTTTACACATTGAGTTTCAAAACAGAAAAAGAGCAAATGAAACCCAAAGCTAGAACAACATAAATACTGAAGATTAAAGCAGAGATAAATGAAATACCGAACAGAAAAATAACAGAAGAAACCAAAAATTGCTTCTCTGGGGAAAAAAAAAAAACAAAACAGATCCACGAAATTGACAACACTTTAGCTAAACTGACCAAGAGAAAAAGAACGAAGACTCAAATAACTGAAATCAAATATAACAGTGGGGACACCACTACCAACTTCACATTAACAATATGGATTATAAGAGAGTACTAGGAACAACTGTTAGAAACAAATTAGATAACTAGATGGCATGACAAAATTCCTAGAAACACGGGAATCACCTAAACTGACCCAAGAGAAATAGAAAATCTCAGCAAATCTTTAATAAGAGATTGAATAGGTGATCAAAATTTCCCAACAGAGAAAAGTCCATGACCTAGGGCTTCACTGGTGAATTAAAGCAAACAACTGAAGAACTGACACCAATCTTTCTCAACCTCGTCCCAAAAGAGAAGAGTAAATAACACTACTGAACTCATGGCCTCATTCTGAGGCCAGCATCACCCTGCTACCAAGGCCAAACCCAAGAAAAGAAAACCACAGAGCAATATCCCTTATGAATATGGATGTAAAAATCCTCAACAAAATACTGGCAAACTACACCCAGCAGCATATTCAAAGGATTGTACACTGTGACCAAATGGGATTTATCCCAGAAATGCAAGTAATGATTAACACCAATCAATGTGATACATCACATTAATAAAATGAAGGGGGAAAAACAAATAGTGTTCATCTCAGTTAATGCAGAAAAAAAATCCAACAGCCTTTTATGAACAGAAACACTCAACAAACTAGGAATAGAGGAAATTTTCTCAACCTGATGAAGGGCTACTGTGAAAATCCCACAGGTGGGCACCTGGGTGGCTCAGTTGGTTAAGCGACTGCCTTCGGCTCAGGTCATGATCCTGGAGTCCCAGGATTGAGTCCCACATCAGGCTCCCTGCTCAGCAGGGAGTCTGCTTCTCCCTCTGACCCTCTTCCCTCTCGTGCTCTCTATCTCTCATTCTATCTCTCAAATAAATAAATAAAATCTTTAAAAAAAAAAAAAAAGAAAATCCCACAGGTATCATATCAATGGCTAAAGACTGAAAACTTTCCCCCTGAAATCAGAAACAAGACGAAGATGCTTGCTTTTGCTACTTCTATTCAACATTGTGCTGGAAGTTCTATCAGACTGATTAATCAAGAAAAGAAATAAAAGGCACCAAAACTGGGAAGAAAGAAGTAACATGCTCTCTATTCACACATGGCATGATCCTGTATGTAGAAAAACCAAAGAATCTACAAGAAAGCCGCTAGGGCTAATGAATGACTCCAGCAAAGTTTCAAGGTACAAGATCAATGGAAAGTAGATTGGAATTACCGGGGACTGGAGGGAGGGAAAACGGGGAGTTATTGCTTAACTGGTACAAGGTTTCTGTTCGGGGTGATAGAAACGTTTGTTTTTGTTTTGTTTTTTTAAAGATTTTATTTATCTATTCATGAAAGACAGAGAGAGAGAGAGAGAGGCAGAGGGAGGCAGAGGGAGAAGCAGGCTCCCAAGGAGCTGGGAGCCTGACGCGGGACTCGATCCCAGGACCCTGGGATCATGACCTGAGCCGAAGGCAGACGCTTAACCATCTGAGCCACCCAGGCGCCCCAGAAACGTTTTTGAAATAGATGGTGGTGATGGTTATGCAACATCGTGAACGTACTGAAGAGCACTTAAAATGGTTAAGACGGCAAGTTTTACATGATATATACCTTAGCATAATTTTAAAGATTAGAAAACAAAACAAAACAAACTCATTTTACTAAATTTACAAATGCATGTTAAACTATTTAAGGGAATTTAGCTAACCTGTAAGTGGTACTGATTGTTTAAGAGAGTTCAACCTATTCACTTGAGTTGGTAAGACATTAATCCAACTTCACTTTAATATAGCAGGGTAAATTGCAAAGAACAGTTAGGATTTTGTATCTGCAAATTTAATTCATTAAGTATCAATTCTTACAACCCAACAGCTGCCAACAGTTTTCTATGACCAAAAGCTGCCTTCATAGATATAAAATTTTTAAAAAATCTCATATTGACCTGTAACTTTTATTTTCACTAATTTAAATATTTTCTATAATTTTTAAATTTTCCAAAAGATCTAAAAAAAAAAAAGAACAACTCTCTGCGGGGGGGGGGGGGGGACAATTCCCCAAGCCAGAATTACATCCTTCTGAATAATAACAAAATGTAAGAAATCAAAGTCCTCGTACCTCCCCAAGTGTCGACGTGGATTTTTTTCCACCACACATACAGGAAAAGAAGAGCAGACAGGAGGAACTGGGAAGTGGTGTTTGCCCAGGCAGATCCTCTGAAGGAGAGAACGTGATCATTCCCTGTGAGTGTCTTCCGTCCAAGTACAAAGAAACAGGCTACCCCCCGAACAGCTTTGGCTTCATTAGAGAATCACAGTCTTTAGAAAAGCCTAGAACCCCTGGGCTATCTTTTAACGATTTAAATACAGCACCCACTTATGATGGACTTGTTTCCTTTCCACCAACACTGAATTTTGTGGAAGAGCCAAATGTGACTATTCGTCAACCCAAAAAACAAAAGAACATAAACGTCTGTCACCATTCTTTGTCTTCACAGCCTGAAATAACCCTTCGGATAAGTTCTTACACATAATTAGTTACATAGAGTTTCAAAACACAGCTACTGTGTTCAAAATACTGGTCTAAGGTTCATAGTTGTTTTATTTCCCAGGATTATAATAAATTTGTTTGCTATTACAAGATAACCTTAGAGCATCGTCGACAGATGACATTTTACCCCACAAATAAAATGATGCACAGAGAGCCCGGGACTGCTCGCTTTCTATTTTTTCACTTTACTCTTCTGACCAATCCTTAAATTTTATCACTGATTAATCCATGCCCATGGGTTCTTCTCCTCTAACCCAACTACCCCCAAACTGTCCTTCATAAATCTGTTCAAGAAACTTTTTTTTTTAAAGATTTTTATTTATTTTGTTCAAGAAACTTTGAAGAGAGGGTCTGTAATGTGCACCTGAAGGGGAAACCCGGACCCCCTACTCAGGTGTTTACGTGGGTTGATGTCACCAGCTCGCAAACCTGCCTGCCGACTCTTACTGCCAAAGCCTTTCAGTTTCCCGGCGTAAGGAAGATGTTACGAACCTTTTTTCGTTCATTACTCTTTTATTCCACTTCCCCACTATCCCTTACTTAATGGCTTTTATGTATATGTTTCCTACCGCAACTAACAGCAAGAAATAAATTTCCGATCACTACCCAGTACCCACAATAATATGTGCACACACAGGCGCACACACGCACAGAAACAAACATCTCATGAAAACACCCCAATACCTTCTCATATTTTCTATTCTATTCTATTTCATTTTATTTTATTTCATTCATAACACACCTCATTTTTTAAAGTGTCCATCATGAGCCACTAAACTAGTTTTTATTTATAAAGAACCGCGCTGCCCTGAAGCATCTAAAAACTGCCAGGGCTCAGGGCTGTGTCTCCAAGCACTGGTGGGACCACGTCTGCCGCGTGTGAGGGAGGCTGGCTCTGGGCCAGCGCACCAGAAGGTTCGACCAAGGGATGGACCAACAGCATGGCGCCTCCGTGAGAGGTCCAATCTGACACTGCCTTCTACGGGGGACCCTCCTATTCTTGAGCTTTATAAAGATGGAATCGGCTCAGTTTCTCACAACTCAGAGAGAGAGGGAGAATCCTTACAGTCCTCTGGCCCCCTCCTGCCTTCGCCCGCGGCACCCATCTCCGTCTGCACAGGCTCCTCGGGCTAACTCCACTCCGACATGCAGGTGTCAGCTCACACATCACTTCTTCCACAGCATTCTCCCCCATCTCCCCCAACTAAGCCCCTCACTCCTCCCTTCCAACAGCCTAGGTTGGTTGCCCCTCCCGGTGCCCTGAGCACCAGCACCCGCCCTATCACATGGAGCATCTCTCAGGGCTCCCCCCGGGGCTGCCTCACTCCCCTGTATCCTAGCCCCTGGGACTGGAGCCAGCACACAGCACACAGCACACACTCAGGATTTGGGGAATGAGAGGGTCACTACTTACACCACGCCGAGGTCCAGGGCATAGAGCAGGAGGGCATTCATGCCCACGTTGATCACGTTCACCCCGATCCCAGTGATCACCTGCGGCATGATGATGCCCTAAAATCCCCAGACAAATAAGAAAACAGAGAGCATTTTCAAGAGCTCATCAGTTAGGTGGTGTGAAATAATGAAAAACATATATATTGGTCTCTGCCCCTGCCCCGCCCCCAGTTCCCAGCACAGCGCCCCTAAATCCCTGGTAATTTCCCCAGTGTTAAGGGCACTAGGGGGGTCCTTTGTTCTAATACATGGTCTTCAACACGGGTTCTTGACACGGAGTTCCTAAATCCTTTGGAATGTCTCAGGTGACAAGGGTGCCTTTTGTCATAATGAGGGGACTCTCAGTGGGCTCCTGGATGGGAACTGGTCACCAGAAACACCAAGCCATGATTAGAAGCTTGACTTTTTCAGCCCATCTCTCATTTTCCAGACAGGGGAGAGGGGCTGGGAACAGAGTAAGTGGTCAATCCTGCCTATGTGAGGAAGCCTCCATAAAAATCCCCAAAGCACAGAGTTCAGAGAGCTTCCAGGTTGGTGAACACGAGGGCATGCTGGGAAAATGGCACCCCCTTCCCACAGACCTTGCCGTCTGGGTGTTCGTTGGCATTCTTTGCCATATCCTTTGATAATAAACTGGTAAAACCCAACCAACCAGCAGTGTGTAAATGCTTCTGAATGACCTGCTGGGCCCCAAGTGATATCACACAGAGGGAAGAGAAGGAAGGATCACATGCACAGCAACTCGTTTCCTGGCATGTGGCATCACGGGAAGACCATTTGGGAGGCACTTCTTGGCCAAGTGACTTCTCCACAGGGCCGCGGTGAGGGTTCATGAAATCATCTCATACAGAACACCCCCAGGCCGGGCCCCTAGCAGGCGTGCGGTGAATGTTCCCCCCAACCCCCCGGGCTTTACCGGGCCATAGTTCCTCGCTTCTCCTGGGTCTGTGGCCTACTCTACCCTGGTCCTCGGATAAACATTTTCTCTAGGATTCTCCATGTGTTTAAACAGAGCTGGCCACCATCAAAGTAGAGCGGCTTCTGTGGACATAAGTCACATGAAGGCAAGCAGGTGGCTCACGGAAGAGGTAAGGGGTGGAGTGTGCGGACTGCACAGTAACATCAGGAGTGGGTGCAGGAGTCTGACAGTTGGAGACGGGCGTCTCCTGAGCTGGACAAAATCCATCTACGAGATGTCACGTCTCCCCAACAAGGAGCTCTGGGTAGAATTCCAGGAAAAAAAATTATGAATTGCTTTCATGGAAAACTCCCTAAGAATATTTACTATACATTTCCAGTACCGTGGAGTAAAAAATAGAAAACGAATCTGTACCTGACTTTGTAAGTACCTCGTCTGCAGCTGGAACAGGAATGCTGCCTGTAAGATGAAATAGAAAGACACCTCTCATTAATATGCAAGTATAATTCTAATTCCAACAGTTTCTGTCAGTTCTGTTTTTCAAGAAGATATTTCTTCTTGATGAGACCTCAAATTTAGAGAACTAGAGCCACACCAACCAATGCTAGGATGCTGTTTGGAATTTTCCAGAAAGGACTCCCCGACAAATGGACAAGTCGACTTCTAACTGGCTGAAGCAGGAACCGCTCACTCCCTTGACATCTGAATGGCTCCCAGGGTGCTAACTGGGGGTACCCTTCCCCAGATCCCAGGGGAGCCCCGGAAATATCCTGATTAATTTGCAATCGAAAGTAACCATGGCATAAGGAAGGAAAGTTCTGATCAGTGTAAGTTGTGGGACCTCAAAGTGGTACAAGCTCTGAGAATCAGTAAGGGAGGGAGGGCAGGTCCAAGACATACTTGTTGAACATACACAGGAACAGCACTATGATAAAACAAAGGAGGGGGACACTGTACACATGACCACATTCATGAGCTGCTTCATGCATTGCAATGCAGGGCACCTGGCTGGCTCAGTCGGTTGGGCGTCTGCCTTCAGCTCAGGTCATGATCCCGGGGTCCTGGGATCGAGCCCCGCATTGGGCTCCCTGCTCATCCGGGAGCCTGCTTCTCTCTCTGCCCCTCCCCCTTGCTCGTGCTCTCTCTCTCACTCTAATAAACAAATAAATATATCTAAAAAAAAAAAGAATACCCTTGACACTTACAGGAAGAGCAGGAATAAAAATCATCACATAAATCTGGGCTATCCTGAAATAAACAACAAACAGCGTTCGGTTAATATTCAAACAATTGCTGGTCCTATTTCCTCAAATTGAATCCATACAGTATTTTCTAAAAATTAAAACTAAAAATAATTAAATGGGGAAATTTAATGACACTCTTAAGATACCTTTTCTACAACCCAAATTAACCCTACATCAGGCCTGCTGAGGGTCTGCTTTCTAAAGGGAAGCCGGACTTCACATCTTTCAGCTCATTCTTAGCAGAAAAGGTAGAATGAACATAGCAAAATGACCTGAAAGTTGGGCAAAATTTAGAAATGTTTTGAGTCAGGACTGTAGGTGTATCTCACACTAAAGCCAGAGGAACAGTCTTCTGAAAAAGGAGAGATGTCTCCCCGGATCCCACATACCCTGAAGATGATCCCAGAGAGCCTGCTGGAATTGTAGGTTAAAAAAAACCCCAACTCTAAAATCAAAAGTCAAGGCAACTGTGTTCCTATTCTGCTCTGGGAGGAGAGAGATACTCTGTGTGTTTGCAAAACACCTCAACAGAGCAACTCTGGGAAAGGTCGACTCGGGCCAAGGGTATTATGTTCTTGTCCCGTAGCTTTTCACTTTGGGCACGGCACCAGGTCACCGTGTCACCCCGTGTCACCCTGTGTCAGGTGGACCCCACCAGCCCTCTATCCTGTGGTCCGCACATCACAGCTTCCATTTGCCACGGTGTTCGAGTCCAGGGAATCGGCCGAACATGTCAATACGGGTCAGAGGACCGGACAGAGTGACTCACTTTGAACCTGGGGTTCTGACATTAAGAGACGCTGCTGACCTGGAGACTTCGGGGTCTTGTTTCAAGAGCAGGAGGATGCGCTCCGTATTGATGAAGACGGCCCAGCAAGGAAAGCAACAGAGCATCAAGATGAGGATTCCTCTTTGAAGGATGATCCCCACGCGTTTTAGGTTCTTGCCTCCAAAGGACTTGAGAGAAGAAACATAACAATGGTAAAGAATGCAAAGGTGTGCTGAGAGCCATGTGGGAGAGGCCCGGGAGGGCGGCCCGCGTGGCTGGGACCGGGGAGGGGCACGGCAGTAGGCCCAGCGGCCTCCATGGTGCGACAGGGTCAGCGGGGAGTTCCCAGCAGGGAAACGACATAAACTGCTGAAGTCTAAGAGGGATGAGGGTCCAGAAGCCAGAGTGAGCAGCCACCGGGCGGCCAGAGCGCAGAGCAGAGAGCAGGCCAGGGGAGGACAGGGCAGGCCCCAGACAGAAGCAGACCCGACCGAGGCCCAAGGGCCGCGTCCCCACAGTGGCCTTGGCCGAGTCTGGGCCTCGCGGAGCTTTTCCCACACTCCCTTTCCTTCAAGTAACCCAAATGACCGTCTCTTTCCACACCCAAAAAGAGGTCAACCTTAAAGCACAGTACAAGAGGCAATGGAAACAAATTAAATAAAAATCATGGCAAGATAGATGACATAGGATATTATGCAGATATTAAAGGGACCGTGTGTACCTGCTTCATTCCATGTGTTCTCCAAAACACATGGTTTAATGGGAGGAAAACGTAGTAAAACCATGTAGATTTTAGAATGGTGTGGGTGTGCAAGTGTACACAGATGGAAATATTTGGAGGACATTCACCAAAAAGTTAATACAGATAACGCAGAAGGGTTAAATTTTAGTGATTTTTTTCCCCCACCTTTTTCAAATAGTTTTCTCGGTAACCTGAAGTTTCTATATGTGCTTGACTTTTAACTATCTTCTTATTTTGTTTTTTATTATTTTTTTACAATCTTCTTATTTTTATTTCTTTACAATTTTTTTAAAAGGCTATTTAAAATCCAGGAAACAATGTGCTATTATGGAATATATTTACTAATACAGAAAGATGTCCATTAGATGCTGATAGATGGGGCAATAAATTAAACATGAGTCTCTTTTTGTTTTTTTTAAAAACCATATGAATAAAAATAACAGAAATGGTGCAAAAAGGTACAAAAAACTAGTTTAAAATAAAAATTCATATCCTGGGGCACCTGGGTGGCTCAGTCATTAAGTGTCTGGCTTCGGCTCAGGTCATGATCCCAGGGTCCTGGGATCATCAAGCCCCGCATCGGGCTCCCTGCTCCGCGGGAAGTCTGCTTCTCCCTCTCCCACTCTCCCTGCTTGTGTTCCCTCTCTCGCTGTGTCTCTCTCTGTCAAATGAATAAATAAAATCTTAAAAAAAAAAAAAGATTTTATAAAATAAATAAATAAATAATAAATAAAAATAAAAATTCATATCCTATGCCATGCCAATCCAGAGCTAACTTTAGCCTAAATTACACTAAATCCTTTAGAGCCGTGTTTAGCTTAGCCCGTAAAAACTATCTCAGGATACCTTCATGCACAAACTGCCAGGAAGCTGAGTGCAACAGCTCAGAAGATACCACATATGCTGAGTGCTGCTCCTTCCTTGAGATATAACACTGTCCTCACTTTCCCAGGCATTGGGGTTTGAAGGCAGGACTCATCTGATACATCCACCCACCCATCTATCCATCATCCATCTACCACTCACCCAACCATCTATCCACCCATCCATCCCTCTACCCACCCACCCATCCATGCATCATCCATCTACCCAACCATCTTCTACTCAACCATCCATCATCCATCTACCCAAGCACCCATCCACCATCCACATAAACATCTATCCACCTGTCCATCCATCATCCAACTACCCAACCGTCCACACAACCATCTATCTATCCATCCATCTGTCCCTCCACCCACCCACCTGGCCATCCATCATCCATCTATCCAACCAACCATCTGTCCACCCATCTACCCATCTCTGCTTGCTTCTCTGCTTTCCTCTCACTCATTCAACAAACTTCCAGGGTACCCACTACATAGCAAGCACAAGGCTGAACCATAGGGATCCAAAGACTGAATGGGAGAAAGCCTTTCTCCCCAAGCACCTCAGATCCTAGTAGGGAAACCACTATGGCTGTAAAGCAGGCGGGTGAGATGGAAGACAGAGCCAGGAATGAAAGGCCTGGACCAGAATCTGACCTCTGATTACGCTAGCACACCAACCCAGAGTTCCCAATCCCATGAGAGCCAATGAAGATGGGAGAGAAATGAGCAGATTCTCTGCTAACACACAGAGACGGGAGATAAAGATGGATTCTGATATGAGCGGAGGGTGGTATATTCTTGGGAGAGAAACAGTTCGGGTGGGAAAGCCTGACGAGCTTAGTTCTGGTAGAGCTGAGTTTGGGGTGTCTGGGACGTGACTGACATTCAAGCCCGGCTCCCAGGAGAGAGACATGGGGGTGGGAGATGGAGCTGTAAGTCTTCAACATCGGGTGAAGGAGGAGAGCTTTAGGGTGGGAGAGATCACAACGGGAGAGAAAAAGGAAAATCCAGCCCCACCCGAGCACACAGGCCCCGAAGACACAATTTGACAAAGAAGAGGCAACAAAAGCCATGAAGGGGACAGTCCCCTATGTTGCGTCCCACAGGAAAGGGAACTGACCACAACAGGTGTGTGGGGAAGGGGTGGAGGGACCTCACCTGAGACATGAGTGTGTCGCAAGCCGATGCCAAGCCAGTCCCCACGGAAATCCCAGTAATGTTCACAACCTGCAAGGAACAACAGAGTTGCAGCCAGCACCCCGGGGCCTGGCTGGGGCAGCCTCGCGGCCAGCAAGCCCCTCCATACCAAGGAGTGACGTAAGGCAGCTTATCTCGAAGGAGCAACCCGTGATCCCACGCTGAAGGCCTTCCACTGTCAACTGTAAACACAACTATAGCCTCCCACCAACGGATCCCAATCACTTCGAGTCAACCAACGTGGCTTAACAACCTAATTTTTCTCAACCCAGCACCCGTTACAGTGTCTGTGTGAAAAAGTTGTGAATGATACCTAACAGCAATGCCCCTGGTCTGCGACGTGCATTTAATAATAATGACAGCAAACCCGCACTGAGCGTATGCGACAAGCAGGCCCCGTCCCAGGCTCCTGCCATGCGAAGTGTCGTGAGCACTACTCCCATCTTACGGTCACTTGAACAAGTCACAGAAAGCCGCGGTCACTCAGAGGGTGGCCTGAGGCTGGGAAGTCTGGCCCCAGGCTTCAATCCTCTAGTGAGAAACGGGGACTCATTCTGTGTCACCCTCTCGCCTCAACCTCACCCGGGGCCCCTGACCATTAAGGGCACAGACGGTAATCTGCAGGTAAGGGTCAGAGCCCAAGGTGCTGTTTTGCAATGACAGGGGTTGGGGAGAGCTGGAGGCCCTCGTTCTCATCCCTGGTCTCACACTGAGCAGGGAGGTCAACCCCCGCTGAGTTAGCTTCTTGGCTGACCAAGGTCACGGACTCTAGCCCCCGGGAGTCGGGGACGGGCCATACGCAGAGTGAGTCCCCTGGGCCCCGGTCCAGGGAGCAGTAGGAGGTGCCCACACCCAAGACACGTTGTGCTCTGCCTGCCAGCCTGGGGCAGCGTCAGGGCTAAAGCTCCAAACACGCCTCCGCCTTCCAGGAAAAGAAAGGAAAGCACGGCTATTACTCCTCCTCGACGGCTTCAAGTCTCTCCCCAGGTCAAGTCCTTTGTCAAAGCCTGCCTTGATTCCCGTCACGGGCTGCTAACCCTGAGCCTCGGACGTCGTCCCTTCCCCCTAAAAATGACCGCCTGCATGCCCAGCCGGTCCCCCACCTCACCCCAGGCTACAAGAGACACTCCTCTGACTCAACATCAGGAAAGGCCATCCTTCCCCCGAAGAGATAGCTCAGTAACATCTGGGGTGTGCTGGAAATTTCTGGAAACTACCAGGGCAGGGAGTCTGGAGGGCCATCTGCAGCTTCTCCCGTGCTAACCCCTCCCGAAGCTGAGTCTTTTTCTATCCAAGTTTCTTTGATCCTATCCTACCACTAATTATTTACCCTTCTGTCTTGAAGGTATTTTTATAAAGCTACTCAAACTCTTCATGAAACACGGTGGGGTATAAATCAATGTTCGGGGGGGGCACGTGGTGGGCTCAGTGGGTGGAGCACGTCACTTTTGGTCTCGGGCTCGTGAGTTTGAGCTCCATGTCCGGGGGAGAGGTTACTTTAAAAAAATAAAAAAAATATATTTTTTAAAAAGTTCTTTTATTTAAAAAACAAACACTTTGGGGCACCTGGGTGGCTCAGTCAGTTAAGCATCGGCCTTCAGCTCCGGTCATGATCCCGGGGTCCTGGGATCGAGCCCCACGTCGGGCTCCCTGCTCAGCAGGGAGTCTGCTTCTCCCTTCCTTGCCCTTCCCCCTGCTCGTGTTCTCTTTCTCTCTCTCTCTCTCGCAAATAAGTAAATAAAATCTTTTAAATAATAAAAAAAATAAATATAAAGAACAAACACTTTTGTAAGTCCTCTCATTGCATGTACAGAGTTTTTCACAAGGCAAAACACTTTTAAACGTATCTGGCTTTCGTGAACAGTCTTCTTGATATTGGGCCTGCTGTCATCTCAGCAATTAGCTACAGTTTAACAGCTGGTTAAAAGCACAGTCTAACTGCCCACTGCCCAAGGAAGGACAGGCACAGACGCCCTGACCTCAGACCTTAGCTACAGAAATTCCTCTCTTTGGGATATACCAACCTTCCCAGGAAATCCCCTTTTCGGGCCTATTGATTGAATTTTAGGTTTCTAGTTCCTCTGTACCTATGAACCTTTTTCTTCAAATAGTAGGAACTCTTCTTATGCTCTTATCATCGGGTGATTTGGGACGGAAAAGCATAAAGGAACAGCACTGGGAAGATGATCAGGAGGTGCCTAGGTGAGGCCCAGCTCACAGTTGCCCGGAGCTATGTACTTCTCTGAAATATCTGCTTGGGCCAGATCTGTGCCAGGAACCAGGCTTGGCAAAACTTAACATGAGCTGGTGGACCAGCAGGAGGGCACACAGACACAGAGAATGTGGCAGAGCCCCCGAAGGACAGGCCCTGCCTGGGGCTTCCGGGAAAGCGTTCTGCAGATGCCCCTAAGCCGCGTCTGGAAGGGTCCGCCCCAGCCTCACAGGCAAGTCACAGAACGCAGTGGGCACCCACAAGCAGGACACCCCATGCCTGGATTTCACTGTCTGGGGACGGGACCAATGAAGGGGGTTAAGCCAGGGAGTGGCTTGATTTTTTTTTTATGGCTGGGACTAGAGGAGATGGGATCAGGGCCAGGGGAGGGGCGGCCCCTTTTTTTTTTTTTTTTTTGAAGAGGAGTCATTTTAAGAAAGGCGGGAAACGAAGTTAGCAGGGCTTGCTGGCCGATGGGGAGGTGGGGCATAAAAACAGAGGGGAGTATCTACGTACTGTCAGGGAGGAAGGCCACCAGAGCGTCCCACATTTTCTGAGTGTGTAGAGGGTCCTGGCGTATTCAAGCCGACGGATCATGAGGCGCTTAGCCATGGGCGGGGGCACCTCGGTCAAGGAGGGAGACACAAATTTGAGAGGCACCAACGAACAGGAGGAGGAGGGGAAGGGACAGAGGTACACCTGTCAGAGAGGGGCAGGAGAACCGAGGAGAACTAGCAGTGGAAGCAAAGAGGAGGCAGAGCCCCTAGGAGGCCAGGAGATGCTGAGGCCAGGTTAGGGAGAGACCTCTAGAGAAGGGAGGACAGGGGTGTCACTGACAACATTAGTCAGGGTACGTAAAACAGAGTGGTGGAGAGATACAGGCCGGCCTGCAACGGGGAGGAAAGGAAATGGAGACATAAGACTTTCTGGCAAAGAGCGTAAGTGGCTAGAGGCCAGACCGGGGGCTGGGCAGGGAAACAAGCGGCTGGAGATGGTTTTTACAGAAAAGGAGGGAGTTGGATACGTTTATCATAGTGCAGAGGGACCAATTAAAGAGAAGAAATGGAAGAGGAAGGATGGTTCTGGAACACAGGCAGAAGGCTGGTCTTGAAGAGGGGAGTAGTGGAGATCAGGTGTTGAGGGGCAGGGGAGGGGAGGCCCGGCACGGACTGGCCCACCGTCCTGCGAGGGAGAGAAGATGGAGGGGCCACGGCATGGGAAGACCCCAGGAGGTCAAATGGCAGGTGGGAGGTGGGGGGAATTTTGACAGAATAAAAGGTTGCTAGTGGGAAAGTAAAGTTTAAAACATCTCCCGTGGGTCCATGCTGAGGGACGGACATGTGCAGTGTGTGAGTCCTGAAGTGGATTTGGGGGGTCCTGGAAGCCAGCGAGATGGAGGGAGGTGGGGCCCACACACCCAAAGAGATGAGCACACAGTTTGATGAACACCGCCTTTTCCGGCCACTGGATAGCGCTCCCAGGGAAGACTACAGGATGATATATCTGGAGGGAATGTCCAAACACAGGCACTGCAAAAAGACAGACAATTCAATAAAGGGTGTTAGGGGAACTGGACAGCCACAGCACAAAGAATGGGACTGGGCCACATTCTTACGCTATATACAAAAAAATAACTCAAAGTGGATTAAAGGTCTGAACACAAGACCTGAAGCGATTAAACTCCTAGAAGAAAACACAGGCAGTAAGCTCTTCAACATTGGTCTTGGCGATGATTTTTTGGATTTGACACCAAAAACAAAGGCAACCAGAAGCCAAAACAAGCAAGCAGGACTACACCAAACGCAAAAGCTTGCGCCCGGTAAAGGAAACCACCAATGAAATGGAAAGCCAACCTACAGAATGGGAGAAAATATTTGCAAATCATGAACCTGATAAAGAGTTCATCTCCAAATAGATGAAGAACTCATCCAACTCAAGAGCAAAAGAACCCCAAACAATCTGATTAGAAACTGGGCAGAGGATCTGAACAGAAATCTTTCCAAAGAAGACACACAGATGGCCAACGGATACTAGAAAAGATGCTCAACATCACTCATCCTCGGGAAAATGCAAATTAAAACCACAAGGAACTATCACTGCACACCTGTGAAGGTCTGTGACAGGAAATAACAAGTGTTGGAGAAGACGGGGAACCCTTGTGCGCTATTGGAGGGGATGCAAACTGTCGCAGCCACTTGGGAAAACAGTACGAAGGCTCCTCAAAAACTTAAAAATAGAACTACCATATGATCCAACGATCCCACTCCTGGGTATTTAACCAAAGAAAATGAAAACACTAACTCAAAAAGATATCTGCACCCCCATGTTTGCTGCAGCATTATTCGTAAGCCAAGATCTGGAAACAACCTAAGTGTCCACTGATGGATGCATGGATAAAGAAAAATGCGGTCCACACCCATGTGCACGTGCCTGCACACACATGCACCGTGGAATATTATTCAGCCATAAAAAAGGAAATCTTGCCCTTTGTAACAACATGGATGGACACTGAGGGCATTATGCTAAGTGAAATAAGCCAGTCAAAGGCAAATGCCATATAATCTCACGTGTGGAATCTAAACAAAGGAAAACTGAACTCATAGAGGCAGAGAGCAGACTGGGTATTACCAGAGACTTGGGGGGGGGGGGGGGGGGGCGGGCGGTAGCTAGGTAAAGGCAGTCAAAAGGTACAAAGTTCCAGTTACAAAATATATAAAGTGTGGGGATGCAATGTATAGCATAGTGACTACAATTAATAATATTGTATTGCACATTTGAAAGTTACTAAGAGTAAACATTAGAAAGATTTCATAACATGGAAAAAAATCCGTGTATAGTGACAGACGTTAATTAAATTTATTGTGGTGATTCTTTTACAATATATACAAATATCAAATTGTTACATTATATACCTGTGTGTTAATTGTATCTCAATAAAAAAGTTAATTAAAAGAAATTTTTAAGAAAGGACATGGGGAAAGAAAGGTTTGGAAGCTGTTTTAGGAAAAGTTAGACCCCCAACTGTGGGCCTTGTAGAGAAACAGAGAGAAAGTGTCCCTTCAAGTTTCCAATAATAACCCACTGTTAATATCTGTTCACAGCCAAAAGAATGACCAGGAGTACAAGGTGTCTTGGGGCCACAGGGACCTATGTGGGGGGAGGGGTCAAGTTCATCCTCTCCAGGGGACACAGTTAACTGCCTGTATTTAAAGCTCCTCTGCTTGACTTTTTTTTTTTTAAAGATGTTATTTATTTATTTATTCATGAGAGACAGAGGGAGAGGGAGAGAGGGCGAGAGAGAGAGAGAGAGAGAGAGAGAGAAGCAGAGGGAGAAGCAGGCTCCCAAGGAGCAGGAAGTCCGATGCGGGACTCGATCCCAGAATCCCGGGATCATGGCCTGAGCCGAAGGCAGACGCTTAACCATCTGAGCCACCCAGGCGCCCCTTTCTTGACTCTTTCTAGAGGCCCCATCTAAACTTTGAAAGGAAGCAGAAATATTCCTTCACCTGAATTAGTTCACTCAATAACAGACCTGTAAATAAAATGTCTGATTCCACATACTGAAGTCATCCCAACCATAAAGCTGAAACGAGAAACTTCTGTGGTCCCGCCACAATCTTAGGGCATATAATTGCCTCCAGTGGGGACGGAGGGGACATCTTCTAAGACAGAGAGACCACCTTTGCCATCACCACCTTGGAAGTATTTTTCACTTTCTCTGAAAGCCTGGATGAGACGCAAGAGGGACGCCCCTTTCCATCACATCACTAACCAAAACCCATTTCAATCCACGGCCCAAGGGGAGACACGTTATTACGAGTGTAAAATACTGCGCCCATGATGAACTGTGTAATTCCAAGTCACGGCAGACAACCTACATCACCTCTAAGTTCTTTGATTTTATAACAGGAAAAAAAAAAAAAATGCAGCGCTGTTCGATTCACCGGCACAGTTTCTACCATTGCTACCAGTTCCTTGCAATCCCGGGCCGCTCGGCCACGGCGGGGTGACTACGAAGACGGAAACTCCTCCGTTAAGTAGCTGACCCAATCTTCCTTCAAATCTAAAGATAAGGCAAAGCAAGGTGCCCTGGGGTCAAGGTCCGACGCTGCAAGGGAAGACAGCAGCCGTGTAATACAATGCAAATTCCGAGGCTTTACCACGGGGTCGACCCCAAAGAAAAGATGAAAGCAACGACACCTACCGACACTGCGAGCATAACGGCGTCCAGCTCCACTTTGCCCAGATGCCCGCAGAAGATGGAACTGACGACGCTGATGAGGAAGATCATCAGCTGCGCCAGGAACTGCCGAGGGAAAAGGAAGGACAGCACGAGCTGACACCGAGCCAGCCCGCCCGCCGGCCCGGGGCGGGGGCGGGGGGAGGCTCCGGGAACGCCGGGGCCGGGCCGCCGTCGGGGGAGGGGGCGCACTCACCACCGGGCCCGCGAGCGCCACCAGCGCGGCCGCCTCCTGTCGCACGTCGGGCGGCAGCGCGCCCCGCAGGCCTCGCAGGCAGCCGCGCCAGCCCGGGGTGTCGGGCCGCTGGGCGCTGTCCGTGGGGGCGGCGGCGGTGTCGGGGGGCTCCATGCTGGCGCGGGCACTGGCGCGCGGGAGGCGGCGGTGGGCTGGGGGCGGCTCCGCCCCGCCCCGCCCCGCGCGCCCGCGGACCTCCCCACCTGCAGACGCGGCGGGGGGTGGGGATGGGGATGGGGATGGGGGCGGGAGAAGCGGGCTGGCCCCGCCACCCCGGACGGCCCCCGCCAACCGTCGCGGTGCGCAGATCCCCGGGGGCTGGGGGCGGGGCGCGGAGACCCCGAGGGGTCGGACGCGATCTGGGGGCGTGGGAGGCCGCGTGGGGGCGCTCTGCCAGGACAAAGGAGACTGTAAGCCCTTAGAGTGAAATATGCCGGGGGCGGGGTGTTGGAGAGGGCGAATTCGTAATTCCCCGCTCCGCACCTCCGGAGCGCCTTGCTGCCCTTTCGGGTGACCTCTCCTTCTGCCTCGGGTAGTTACGGGTGTGTTAAAGTATTCCCCCGGGGATGCGCTCCTCGCAGGCAGTTTGAGATCAGGAGATAAGCCTTCCCATCCCCCATCCTTGGGGCTCCTACCTGACGCAAGAGGGGCAGACACTGAGAAGTCTCTAGAAGGCTAGGGAGTATCTGTCTGAGACTGAAGGAAGAGGGTGTGTATTGAACTTCCTAACAAAGAGCTGAGAGAGGAGACGTTACTGGGGCCAAACCTTAAGGGCAGGCCTTTATCTTCGCCCCTGCAAAATGGTCCTCCAAGAAGAAAGCTTTTGAGGGTGGAGATGCCTGAAGGCGGTCCTGGGTGCTTTTCATTCGCGGTAGCAAACTTTTTTTAATCTGGTCCATTATCTGTTCTTTCAAGGCAAAGGCCAGGCCTAACTCTTTGTATCCACCTAAGCACCCAATGTACTTAATACTGAGGCTTGCTGCGTTAAGGGGTGTGGCCCCACCCCCGGGAAGGCGGAGTCCAAGTAGGACTTGCTTACTGCTTAATCCAAGGCCCCCCTTTTTTTTTTAAAGATATTATTCATTTGAGACACAGTGGTAACAGAGAGAAAGAGAGCATGAGCAGGGAGAGAGAAGAGGGAGAAGCAGGCTCCCCACTGAGCCAGGAGCCCTATGTGGGGCTCGATCCCAGGAGCCTGGGATCGTGACCCGAGCCGAAGGCAGACGCTTAACCATCTGAACAGTCTTGTGCTCTGACCCCCAGACGAATTAGCAATGGTAGTTTGGACTTTCACAGCTCCAAAGACTTCCGCAACTATTCTCCAAGGGAGGGGGGCGGGGAGGAGGGAGCATTCATGGAAACCCCATCCTTTTGAGACACAACCGCACAAAACCTCCTACATATACCATGTTTGCCACCCAAAATTGGGGTGCCTTTTTCTTTTTTTTAAAGATTTTATTTATTTGACAAAGAGCACAAGCAGGGGTAGTGGCAAGCAGAGGGAGAGAGAGAAGCAGACTCCCTGCTCAGCAGGGAACCAATGTGGGGCTCCATGTGGATGGGGGGCTCCATCCCAAGACCCTGGGATCATGACCTGAGCCGAAGGCAGACGCTTAACAACTGAGCCACCCTGGTGCCCCGCTGGGGTGCCTTCTTAAAGACAAAGACAGGACCCCCGCCCCTAGCCTCCCCTCTCCTGGACCCCTCTTGTCATTTCTTCTGCCTCCCCCCTTCTATCAACACAGGAAAGGGTCTGACTTCTTCCTCTGCCAGGATTAGCTCTTCAAACCCTTTATTCCTCTCTGTGGGATGCCTACCACTCTAGAAAAATGAAGTGCTGGTTCTCAGTGAGGCCCACAGCTTCCTCTTTGTCTCTGCCAATCCATGTCAGCCCAAACAGATTTTAAGACAGGTCCTTAAGACGAAGCTTGCTCATCGGTACCATCTGGCTCCTTTCTGCTTAATCTAGGTCTTCTCCCCTTTTGGTTTCTCAAGCGGCACCATTGCCCATAGTGCCTGAGATCTGGATCCCAACTGAATATTAACGAATGCCATTCGCCCGTTGAATAATCACTAAAGGCACAAGGAAAGATACATTGCAAAATATATTTTAAATAACTCAAACAGTAGGAAACCTTAAGCACTCAGTACATGGGTTTTAACTAAAGAAACAGTAAGAACTATCAAAGCTATTAGATGAATGCAGTCAGTACACAGTGGTCCTTGGTTGAGACAATGGTGCATGAACTGAATGATCATCACTCTAAACTTTCAGACACCGTCTTGGACAAGAACAGTTTGTACCTTAGTTCCTTTTCTTCATTAGAAAACATAACTGTGAACTCTCAATTCTTGAAACCCATAGGCACAGTTGAAACTAACTTAACTGAAAACAAATTCCCACCATTGGGCCTATGAATTTTTGTAAGTATCACTTGACCTGACACTCTCTCTCGCCTGTCACTCAACTCCGCCGACGTATACTCTCACTAAAATCCCTACGAGCAAGACGGAAATGAGCCCCAGGAACAGAAGCCCACGCCGCACCACCAACTGTTTCCCAGTCAACAGAGTCGTGTCCCTTGGATCCGCCTGACCACGTTCTTCTTGGCTTATGTGCAGGTCCAAATGAATCTCATCTTTTCTTCTAAGATCTCTCATTAAAATTCCTCCACGGTTCTCAGGGCCCACTGAAGCGACTGAAGGGGAAAAGGAACTTAGTTAGCAGTGTAGAAGGATATTTTTTTCATTTCTATAAAAGATGCCATATATATATGTGTTCCTAGCCAAGGGAAACCTTATTCAGAAAGTAGTTGCTACCTTGGATAAATAAATTTCATCTAAGAGGGCCTCTCTCTTTGCTCACTCACAAACTCTGACTGAATCCTACTGTTGTCGGCTTGGGTCTTCTAGGGAGCTCTGCCCCACCACAAGAACTAGAGAAATACGGGGGGCTCTCGAAGTTAAGGTTCATAAGGGAAGTTTTCAGGGGGCCAACACTCATCTAATTAGCAGTCCAGAAGGAAAACAAGGCCAATGGAGGAGAAAAATATCCAAAGAAGTAATTCAAGGCCATCCCCAGAACTGAAGAGAGATGTGAATCTTCACATCAGAAGGCCTCCTGAGCATCCAGCAGGATAGTGACTCAGATGGACATCCAGTCTTCCCACACCTCCCAAAGGAAAAAATAAAGGCAGTTAACCTAACAAAACAAGAAGATGGGCATCGGAGCAGTCGGCTTCTCCCTCTCCCTTGGCCCCTCTCTCTCAAATAAATAATCTTTTAAAAAAAATGCTTTTTCCACATCGGACGTCGTTCTCAGCACTTAACATGTACAAAGCTCACTTGTCTCTCACGACAGTAGTATGAGGTACTATGAGGTATTATTACCCTGCTTTTATAAGTGGTAGATGGTAGAAAATTTGGACCAATCATCCTCTGAAAATAATTATGAAAGCTGGACAAAATAAATGAAAAGTTATCATCTTGAAGGTGTCAACAGTGCTACCAAGGCAACAAAAAGTCACCAGGGCCAAGATCTAGGGGAAGTTGGAGACCCAGAGTTGGGACCCAGCCTTTGGGGCCGCTCTGGACCTCAGAATTCTCCATCTGGATTGAGCGATGCTTTGGGGAGTTCAGTCCCTACCGAGGTAAACCCCTCTCTACTTCAGGCTGAAACTCAAGGGCTGTGTCCAAGAATTAAGGACGAACCAGGAGTCAACCAGCCCTCACTCCCGTTGCTTCCCAAGTCAGCTGGGTGGTCCAGGAAGCTCGGTTGTTGAAATTGCCCCACACAGCTAGTAACCCTAAGTAAGAGTTTGACGGAAGCAAAGGAAAATCCTCTCTGAAGACCGCTATCATTATTGGCCTCCAATTACTTCTACAGCCAATGTTCAAATACAAGATCTGGAACACAAAGATAACCAGGCACACAGGGGACTGGACAAGGTAAACGAGAACTGGTGGGAATGGCAGAATGGGGGCCAGTTGTAATTCAACCAGCCCTGTGAGCTCAAAGAGGTTCGGTTAGAAAAAAGCAAGGAACAGAGTGTGAGTCCATGACTCACTGCCCGAGGAACTGGGAATCTGGAGGGGGGAGGTTACTAATTGGACAGAAGGAAAACAATACCCACAGTTGCATGCTGCTCCCCAGAAGCAACAGTTAAAAACAGTAATCTGTTTAAAGCCCACCTGTGTGTTGGCCTGGGGGATGGGGAAACCCCACGAACACAAACATGTCAGTCTCCAAGATAAGGTCACAGCACAGGATCACCAAGCATTAGAAATGCCTGTGAAATGCTTATATGAGTAAGCCCAGGAATGGATGACCTGCAGCCTCTCATCATCTACTGTAGTGTATTAATATCTGGAATGCAAGCAAACAAACTTCCAAATCTGTTTACCTCAAGTTTGTGTGACTTTATCATTTGTTTCTGAAACTTTATTGCCCGAGTTCAGTGGGAGCTCATGGCAGCAAATCTAGTTGTGTCCCACCGATGGCCCCTCCAGGACCCCCTGGAGAGGCCTGTTCCAAGAGCTGAGGCAGTTACTCCATACCTGGGTCCTGAGAGGCAGCAGAAGTCCCATCCTGGGCCGTATTGAGGCTCAAATTGGCATGGATCTGAGCCTAGAAGATGAAACTCGAAGTAAATCCACAAGGCTTTATTTGGTGTTAATAGAACATTTGACTTGACTACCCAGTGTAGGAAAAACCAAGGCATTTTCTTTAGCTGACGTCGTTGGAGCTTCTCTAGTCTACAACTATGGAATCGTCTTTCCAAATGATTGACATGGGATCCGTGGGTGAGGGAAGGATGGATGGAAAAGCACATTAGGGGGAAGGCGGGACCCAAGATCATAGCATCCCTTCCTTGCCCTTCCCTTTACCTCTTTGATCTACCATCTATTTTCAGACCCACACTGACCCTAGCAAGTTGGGAGAGACAGATGGATGCGGGTATCTTCATGAAATATTTGGGGATCATAAAAAATTTGGATATCAGGATAAATTTGCTGGCATCCCACCTCTCTCTCCAGTTCCAAATCTTGTCCTAAAATTGGCTTTTCAGGCGTAAGGGTGGTGGCTTAGTATGGGATATGAGGAAGAAAGGAAT